ATCCTGATTTGTGTTGAAATTATTTCCTTGAGGATTATTGCCTGGGTATCCAAAAAGTGTATTGATTTATATTTTTCCTTTTTTGGACTTTGTCTGGTTGTGGCATCAGAGGAAACTGCTTCATAGAATGCATTGCACACCGATCTCTTCTCTGTGGTTTTTTTTTTTTTTTTTGGAGAACAGTTAGTGAAAAATTGCTATTGCTATTTTAAAGGTTTGGAGTAATTCACCAGTGAAGTCTTCTTAACCTGGGCAATCATATGAACTTGGAAGATGATCCGTCCCCATCTCATCTTTCAGTTGAAACCTCAGCCTTGGCCATCACCTACATCTGGATTTCTGACTCAGAGAAACTGTGAGTAGTGTGTGCGTGCTTTTGAGCCACTAAGCTACATGGTAATTGGCTATGCTGCAGTACACAATAATACACTTCATGGTAAATGTAATGTTATCCTGAATTAGATCAAAATACAGAAAAATGGCATTAGGTGAAAACCAGATAAAATATGAAGACAGTCAGTACTTTAGTTAAAAGTTCTATGTACCTTTATCAGTTTTTGAGTTTTCACAGATACTCTATGTTTATGTATGATGATAATATTACAGAAAGTTGAAGGGTATATGAAACTTTATGTAAGATCTTAGCAATTTTCTGTAAATCTAAACTTTTAAAATAAATAGAAGTGTAGACATGGCTCGTATATTTGAGATCAGGACTTGCTGTTAACTTAATTCAGCCTTTGTGGAACCTAAAACACATGGTACAAATGCAGTAACCTTATAAAACATAAATGATATGAGTGATATGAGTTTCTATTTTATTCACTCCGTTGTTTTTTTTTTTTTTTTTTGGGAGACAGAGTCTCACCCTGTCTATCCTGTCTACCCTGTCTCACAGGATGGGGTACAGTGGCGGGATCTCTACTCACTGCAACCTCCGCCTCCTGGGTTTGAGTGATTCTCCTGCCTCAGCCTCCCGGGTAGTTGGGACTACAGGCGTGTGCCACCATGCTCGGCTAATTTTTTGTGTTTTTATTTTTAGTTGAGACGGGTTTTCACCATGTTGGCCAGGCTGGCCTCGAACTCCTGACCTTGTGATCTGCCCACCTCAGCCTCCCAATGTGTTGGGACTACAGGCGTGAGACACCACGCCTGGCCTATTCACTCTATTCTTCAGGGAAGATGAAAGTCCATTTTTTTCCCAAAGTATCCAAAAGTACAGTTGAGCTGTGTAACAAGTAGACAACACAGAAGATTGTATGGAAACCAGAGTGCATCTACATGTACAGTAACTAATCTTAAAATTATTTGCATGAGCATCATCCGTGTGATTAAAATGACCATGGGAAAGAAGAAAAGGATAAAAATGCAACTTTCTTGATTTAAAAAATGTAACTGGGTGGGTGTGGTGCTGTGGGCATGTAGTTGCAGCTGCTTGGGAGGTTGGGCTGGATGATCGCTTGACATGAGGAATTTGAGGCTGTAGTGTGCAGTGCTTGTGCCTGTGAGTAGCCATTGCACTGCAGCCTGGGCAGCATAGCGAGACCCAGTTTCTAAAATAAATAAATAAATAATAAATAAATGAATACTTGGATTTAGAGTGCAAGTTACAGAGATCATTGCTTATAGTTAGGGCTGCAATTCTCTAGTACAGATTTTTCTATTTCTTTAGAGAGCTGCCACTCCAGCACAGGCTTTCAAGTAATGCTTTGCCATTTTTATTTTCCTCTCAAGGGATTTCTGGAATTACAGTTTGTAAAATTATCTCCTGGCATGTGTTTCATTTTGATTTCTGCTTGCTGTTGAGGTCTGTCTGAGTAGTGGCTATAACCTATAGCCTTGCCCAATAGAACTCAGGGTTTGGTACTGAGTGTACTTTTCATGGGATGTTTATTCAACCTGGTTGATGGCCGACAGCCTAATTATCCAACTTGAATTGAGGTATTTCTCTTACAGAGTGTACTTGTTTTTACTGGAAGACATCCTTGTAGCTCTTGTCTGACCCGTGTCTTACTTCTAACAAGATAGTCACTCTCTAGGAGAGTGCTGTGTGGGAAAAAGAGTGAGGTCCCCATGTGTTTGTAAAGCGAAACACAGAGGAGGCAACTCAACAAAAGGTGGATAATGGCCCTAGTAATGTATTATTACTAACCAGTCAAAGAGAGGAGGGCAGCATTCCTTGAAGCACCAATAGGAAGGGAAGAGCTCTCCGGGACACACACTTAGAAACAGCATGGGTGGTGGGGGAGCAACTACAGAACACAGGGTAATGGGCCATTAGGCTGAAGCCTTTATGGGTGTATCTGTCAGATTTTTTCTAGAGAGACAGAACAAATAGATGGTAGGTAGGTAGGTAGGTTAGATACTTCGATAGATCAATACATAAATAGATAGATAGTTGATAGCAAGATAATAGTTAGAATAGAGGCATTTTTGTTAGGGGATTTGCTCATGTGATTATATATAGAGGCTGAGAATTCCCAGGACAGCCTTCTGTAAGTTTAAGACCCTAGGATGTTATAGCTTGACTGTAAGCCTGAGATCTTCAGAACCTGGAGGACCCTTAGTGTAATTCTCAGGTTAGGACCAAAGGCCTGAGAATCCACAGGTTTCCCTCTTAAAAGTCGTGGAGTTTCCAGGTCAGAGAATTCAGAGTTCTGTCAAGGACAGGAAAAGAAGTGTGCCTGCCGAAGTGGGTGGGCGGGAGTTGGGGGAGAGAACTGTTTTTCTACCTTTACTTTTGGTTATACCAGGTCCTCAAGGAGATTGTATGGTGCCTGCTTCCATGGTGGGTGTATTTTCCTCACCAAATTCCTTCACTCACACAACAGTCTCCTCTGGAAATACCCTGGCAGACACTTCCAGAAGTAATGCTTTACCAGTTCTCTAGGTATTCTTTAATCCACATTAAATAACCATGAAAATCCCATCACCTTTCTACCTAGCACTTATGTGTATCATCTTAAGCCACACTAATCTGCAAATACAGACGGTAATAAGGCAACATGATGCAGTATTCTGTATACAACCAAAACATACTAATCTTTTTTTAGAGTAGTAAAGGTTTGTGGGTGATGTTTACTATTCTTTTGATATCCCATAATTTCAATATAAATATGTTGAATTACTAATACTTAACTGCTAGTATCAGATCAATGCATTATTGGGTTATGTGTTAAGAGAAGGATGACAACAAAGTTACTTGCCTAATATATGTATATAAACATGCAAAAGTATTCTTAACAACGTAGATAGGACATACTAGTGACAGTTTTAATGCTTGTTTCTGTAACTGTTCACCTGGTCCTAACTGATATTTATAACTTCCTTCCACTGCTCCCCACTCTATTCTCTTTGTGTTCAGCAGGCTCCTCAGCTGGTCCGAGGTCTTTACCTGGCAGGGTGATGCAAACCTTCATTCCTGAAAGATCTGGACCATTTGTACTGTTGCCGGGAATGATTGTAGTTTTCCATTGAACTTAATAACAGGGCATAGTAATACTAAGAGACTTGGTTTTAGTCCATTTTCTGTTACTTACAACAGAATACCTGGAACTGAGTAGTTGATAAAGAAGACACATACATTTCTTACAGTTACGGAGGCTGAAAAGTCCAAGGTTTAGGGGCCACATGTGGTGAGGTCCTGTTGCTTCTTGGGACTCTCCAGAGAGTCCTGAAGCCATGCAGGGTATCGTGGCAATGGAGTAGAGCTTGCTGCCGTGGAAGATCAGGTCTCCTCTCTTATAAGCTATTGGTTCTTCTCTCATAATAACCCATTAATCTAAAACTCATTAATGTATTAATCCGTGAATGGATTAACTTAATCACAGGGACAAACTCTTCATGATCCAGTCATCATTTAAGGGCCTCACATCTCAATACTGCCACATTCGGAATGAAATTTAAACATGAGTTTGTGAGGAGAGCCCTTAACTTCTGGCTTTCTAAAGTCATGCCCTGTCACTTATAAAAAATGTATTCCGTTTCTGTAGTTCAAAGGCTTAAGTTGTTCCAGCACCAACAGAAAGTTCCAAAACCCAAAGTCTCATCTGTCAGCCTAAGAAATCAAAACAAGTTATCTTCATACAAAATTCAGTGATTAGATTAAGGCCCAATGGATTCCTCTTGGCTGCTGCCCAGATAGAGCCACTTGACCAAGACAGGGGAATTGCTGTACAGACAAAGTTTAATACATGTAGAGCTGGCTAAAGGAGAGACTGGAGTTTTCTTATTACTCAAAACAGCCTCCCCAAATATTAAGATACTGGGGTTTTTATAGATAGTTTGGCATGCAAGGGGCTAGGGAAAGGGGAATGGTGATTGGTGGGTGTCAGGGATAAAATCTTAGGAAATCAGAGTCATCTTCTTGTTCTGACTCAGTTCCTGGATGGGGGCCACATGTCCACATGAGCCATTTACTGGTTTGGGTGGCACCTGCTGATCCATCAGAATGCAAGGTCAGAAAAATACATCAAACACAAATCTAGGTTTTACAATAGTAATGCTCTTTACGGGAGCAATTGGGGACGTTAGTAATATTGTGGCCTCGGGATGTGTGACTCCTGAGCCACACTTTATAACCCCGTGGTTAATTTGTTAGTTTTACAAAGACAATATGGTCCCCAAGCAATGAGCGGTTTTGTTTCAGGAAAGAGCTGTTACTATATTTGTTTCAAAGTTAAGCTATAAAATAAATTCCTCCCAAAGTTAGTTTGACTTTTGCCCAGGATTGAACAAGGACAACTTGGAGGTTAAAAGCAAGATGAAGTCACTTAGGTCATATCTCTCTTACTATCACAATTTTGTCAGTGTTGCAGTTTTTACAAAGGTGATTTCAATTCTCTTTTTGGGGTTTTACTGCACATTAGTCTTAAGGTGTCAGACAGGCAGTTGGGAAAAGGCTGAAGACTACTCTAACTTCTTCCTACCAACAGGGCTTGTACTTGGGATACGGTTTGGCCCCAGAGTAAATGGAATGAAACTGCTTTGTAGCTGTCTGCATGTATTCGCTGGTGCCTCGTTGGGGTTCGTCGGCTTGGATGACAAAGATGTTAGTACTGTCATTCACAATTTTAGTACAGCACTTCAGTGAACAGCAAACTGTAGGACAATGAGTCCTAATATAAGAAGTAGTCCTAGCTTCAGAAGTTCTTATATAATTCATCTAAATTCCTGAGGGATTCAGGGGAATAGCCTCAAGAACCAGTCAGACATGGGTCAGTACTCAAGAGAGATTTGAGTCATAAGTTGTTAGAAAGACAAATTGGAATAAATAAGAAACAGCAAATTTATATATACCATTCCACATCTTTCTAGTTAATTTCCTAGTCCTGCAAATAGATTCATTCAGTTAAATATTTATGTTTTATTTTAGAAAGTAGAATTGCAGATGGACTAGGCCTGTATTTGTGATGAAGGCAGAAAAATTTTTGATGATAGGCATTTGAACAGAAATAGAAAAAAAACTACAAAGGTTAATGTTGGGCACAGTGTATTCACCTGATAAACTCAAGTATTTTTGAGGCAATGGCAATCTGACATGTTTTCTCACCTGTATCACAAGAGATAAGCATCTGCATGCAGGGCTTCAGGAAAGAGGTACTAGCAATTTCATCGAGTCCAGGTTAGTAAAAATGGAAGAAAAATTAGAAAGTGTTAGTTTGGGGATATTTGGCTCTGAAAGAGTTGAGGATTCAGCCCAAAGTGCAGAAAATAGTGAAAAGCTCAAAAACAGTGGGCAAGACTAGAATCTTAACAGCAGGTGTGCTATAGTATTTTCCCGAAATATAATTTTTCTTCTTCTAGTTCTCATTTTTTTTAAAGACACATCATAGTAGGACATATTTATTTACAAAATAAGTTTTGGCATTATTATACTTAACCTTATTATTTGCATAAAGTGAAGCAGGAATAATTATTTGCCATATTAGCTCTTTCTAAATTGGCTTTGCTAGAACTTTGTTCCATAAGGAATCTTAGATTAGACTTTTTTAAAAGCCTTGAGTCCCCCCATGGATTTATCTGTGCCTACAAATATGTATATGGGTTGGGTGAATTCCTCTCTTCTTAACATCCCAAGATAACATGGGGATTCTAGACCTGTCAGAAAGTAACATTTTTCCCTACCTCTGATCAGGAACCCCGTACAAAGACTGGGCAGACGAGGTATGAGGCCAGTTTCCCCCCAGAGTTTTCATCATCTCTATTAGTCACTTTGGATTCCTTAAGGCAGTCTGTTTATATGTGAAAGTATGTCATTCCACTGGTAAAATAAGTACATTTTTGTAAAATAACCAGTGTATCCAGTTGTTTCCTGTTATAAAAGAAAACAGATTCTTAAATGTAAATAACGAATTATCTGTTAAGTTTAAAAAACCTAAATAATTTTCAAATTCTGGAGAAATCAAGTAGAGAAAAAGAAATATGCCTCAAATTTTACTCACAGGAGTATACTTTACTCAATTGTTAAAAGCTCGAAACAAAACTCAATTGTTAAAAGCTCAGCTGACACTGAAAAATGACAAAAAGGCTCTCCAAACAAAAACGCTTCCTTGACACTGAAAAACAACAACAAAAGGATCAGCAACATTTTTTTTTTTTTTTTTTTGACAGAGTCTCGCTCTGTCTTTAGGCTGGAGTGTGGTGGCACCATCTTGGCTCACTGCAATCTCTGCCTCCCGGATTCAAGCAATTCTCCTGCCTCAGCCTCTCGAATAGCTGGGATTACAGGCATGCCCCACCACACCCAGCTATTTTTTTTCTTTTTTTGGAGAGACGGGGTTTTACCATGTTGTCCAGGATGGTCTCGATCTGCTGACCTCGTGATCTGCCTGCCTTGGCCCCCACAGTGCTGTGATTACAGGTGTGAGCCACCATGCCCAGCTGGATCAACAACATTTTAAGCAACAAATCATAAAAGGATGACTTCGGTCTCCTATTTGTTCAGTCCATGTAATTAACTCTTGTACTGCCTGACACTGGGCCAGTAGTCCTCATGCTATCTATGAAAGTCCATCAGCTGTCTATGAAAGTGTGCTTTTTCTATTTCACTGACACAGTCTCTATCAGAAACCTGTATTCAAGAGAACCTTTCATAAAGCGAATCACTTTTTGAAAAGGTTCAAAGTAATACAACAATTATCTGTGGATGACAAACATTTCAGGACAGCCATTGATTTTTAATTTTACTTTTACTTTTTTTTGAGACAGCATCTTGCTTAGTTACCCAGGCTGGAGTGCAGTGACACAATCATGGCTCGCTGCAGCCTCGACTTCCTGGAATCAAGCAATCCTCATACTTTAGTCCTCAGAGTAGCTGGGACCACATGCAAGTGCCGCCACACTCAGCTAATTTTTGTTTTGTTTTGTTTTGTTTTGTTTTTAAGACAGTTTTGCTCTTGTTGCCCAGGCTGGAGTGCGTTGGTGTGATCTCGGCTCACCGTATCCTCCACCTCCCGGGTTCAAGTAATTCTCCTGCCTCAACCTCCCAAGTAGCTGGGATTACAGACATGCACCACCACACCTAGCAATTTTTTTGTATTTTTAGTAGACCCAGGGTTTCTCCATGTTGGCCAAGCTGGTCTCAAACTCCTGACCTCAGGTGATCCACCTGCTTCAGTCCCCCAAAGTGCTGGGATTACAAGCATGAGCCACCGTGCCTGGCGACACCCAGCTAATTTTTATACTTATTTGTAGAGACGAGGTCTTACTATTTTTCTGAAGCTGGTCTCAAACTCCTGGGCTCAGGGAATCCTCCATACTTGGCCTCCAGAGTGCTGGGTGTACAGGCATGAGCCACCACACCTGATGAGATCAGCCATCGTTAAAGACACAGTCAACAAGAAAATCTGGTCATCTCTGTGGTACATAATAATTTAACATAATTATTATGAATACAGTGAAACATACGAGAATTAAAGGAATCATATAATTTTGGAATACTTATATTTATATAATATAATTCAAAGAGAATTAAACACCATTTTGTATTTGACAACAATGTTTTCTGTGTGGTTAAGATACCCAATAAGGCAAATACGTCTTTTGAACTTCAAGGGACCCAATACTTAAAAGGTTAATTAGGTAGAAAAAAAAAGACAATTTATAATTTGATTTTTCAAAGTTTTTCAAATATTAAAGGTTTAAAACACTTGATATCACAAAATGGAATCCCAGATAACCACACATCATTTATTTAGAAAATGATAACTCGGCTGGGCGCGGTGGCTCAAGCCTGTAATCCTAGCACTTTGGGAGGCCGAGACGGGCAGATCACAAGGTCAGGAGATCAAGACCATCCTGGCTAACACGGTGAAACCCCGTCTCTACTAAAAAATACAAAAAAAACTAGCGGGGCGCGGTGGCGGGCGCTTGTAGTCCCAGCTACTCTGGAGGCTGAGGCAGGAGAATGGCGTGAACCCAGGAGGCGGAGCTTACAGTGAGCTGAGATCCGGCCACTGCACTCCAGCCTGGGCGACAGAGCAAGACTCTGTCTAAAAAAAAAAAAAAAAAAAGAAAATGATAACTCCATTTCAAAAAGGCAAAAATCTCTACTCACTGATAGAAAGGGGAGACTCATCTCTCCAAACAAGACCCAATAAAGATAGCATGAGGCTGACCACATCTGTCTCTTCTCTTTCGCTGTTTTTCAGTTTATTTAAAAGACAAACAAAAATATTTCATTATTATCCTTCAATATTATACAAAAGTCTTGTTCAAAGATAAAAAACCAAATTTTACCTTTGCATTAGTGTAGCAGGAAAGTCAGAGAACCAGAGAGACCAAAGGGGTTCAGGAGGGTTTACTTAAGGTGTACACGGGCTCAGTGGACTTGCATCCAGAAAGTCTGAGCATCAAACAGAGAAAGCACATGCCTTTTCTGCATCTTGGGGCAGGAAAAATGTGAAGCGGGAAGCAGGTTTACAGAAGTGAGAACAAAAGCAGTTAATCATCTTGTGACATGTCTTAACATCTTGGGAAAAAACATGTTTTGCAGCTTGTGCTTATCTTGTGGCCTTGCAGCTGTACAGCGAGAAAAACAGGAACTTACAAAATATGCAGAGGGTAGATATGGTTAGTGTTTCACAGAAGGGCAATTAATATTCTTTCTTAACTCCATTTTCGGGATGAGAGGTTACCTATAGACCTCTTAGCCCAGGCTTAGACAGCATTCTATGGAAGAAACTGCTATTACGTCATTACTATTTCATTTTTACAATTTCTACTATTATTCTCTCTGCTTCATTAGTGTACTATTAATGTTAAACCCGATTTTTATGTAAAACCTTATAAACACATCTATCCAATCTGAATCAGTTTGATTGTACAGTAAGAGTTTCATAAATATTTTACGACATTTTACAATTGTATACTAAAGAGCACATTAATGCTCCATGAAAACTCCATTTATCACACACAGGGCTGCAGTCTCTGGGCCTGTATCAGTGTCCATTTTATTTTAATGTTTATTCTGTAGAAAAACTAGGTAATCCCCTTCAAATTTTGGTAGCTTGTTCATACACAGAACTTTCTTTACAAGTTCAGTCTTTTATAAACCTTTTATAAGTTGCTTAAACCTTCAGTTTTGTCCTTTTTTTTAACTTGAGGCAGTTTTTTAAAATTCTCTAAATTAGACAAAATTATTTTAACGTTTTTGTGTCTTTGTGTAATTTTTTACCGAGACACATTTAATAATTTTATATACATTTCATGTAAATATTTTTTCAGTAGTCTCATTTATATTACCATGTAGAGTCTTAACAACTTTTATTTTTTGTGAATACAATGTTAATTTTGTACCAGGTGCAGAGCCCAGGACACAGGATAGAACTGTAGATAATATCTGACCCTTTCCAGCATAGTTACAGGGCATAGCTAACTCAACATGTCCCCCCCAGTCCTTACCTAGAAGCTAATGCTTCTAATGCAGGCAGGTTAGGCAGTTATAAAAAGTCTTAGAAGCAGTTTGTAACCTTCAATCATTTGGCAAAGACAGTATCTGACTTGCCTAAGTTAGATCGAATATTTAAATATTGAAGACATTTTTATTTTACCGATAATCTATAAAACTGTCTTTATTATTCAAAGATTATTAGAGTCATGTGAACAGGCAAAGTAGTTAATTTTTTCTAATAAAATATTCAAGTGCATTAGATAGACATGCCATTTCGCTAGAGCTCTTTTAAATATTTTGTTAGTGAAATATTGTACTTACGAAGCGTATCAATAAACAGACAGAGAAGCCGTGACTTTATTATGTGTTCTTTCAGACTGGCCGCCTGACGTGAATGAAAAAATTCCAACCCCTCCGTATGTGGGAGGCAAAGGGACAGTACTCTCACATGGTTACAAAGTCAAGTTCTCAAGGACAGAAAACAAGAGAAGAGGAAAATGTCACTTTTTTTTTTTTTTCTGGAACCTGCAGCAAAGTTTGTAACTAACGAGTCTGCAGGGCCAGCTCAAACATCAAGCTTTTAGGGGTCTTAGGCCTACATTCTATTCTGCGGTACTCCTCTCTCTGACAGATTGACAACAGAAAGGTTTCAAAAGGCTTAGCCACACAGATCTTTTTTTCCTTCTAATCCAGACTTGCAGAGGAGACAAACCGTGACTTTGACAATTCATTCAACTGGTTTTGTAGAGAGAGCTTGGCTGGTAAGAAATTTTTACTTTTTTGCCAGCTTGCCAGTTTTTCAAGTTCCCTTTGTCTGCAGCTTCCAGGAGAATGGAGCAACTTTTGATGACCCTGTTTTCTGTACCGTATCTGTGGGGGCCAAGCGGTGTTACAAAATTTTGCAAGATGTCACCCAATGGGCTGCAATGGGACCAAATAAACACTTCTCATTTTGGCCAGAACAAAATGCATGTGACAAAATACAGATACTAATCACTCTACTCACCACCAAAGTATTCATTTGACAAAGCTTTAACTTGTTGCCATTGGCCCCTGTCGTCTTTGATCCATTCAGGACAGGGAGAGATGACCTCTGAAAAGTAGTTTCAGTGGGTGCTCCCCAGGTAACATGGAAGGGTGAATGCTTACCCTCAGTTAGACCTGTTCAGCTCCTGCTAACAGTTCTTTAAGGCTCACTCTGAAGATGAATGATCAGATGAACTAGGAAAGCCTGCAGTAATTCCATCAGCAATTTCTTCAGAGATCTCCATACATGCAAACTCACTCGATGAAATATAGAAGGCCTTTCAAACCGAAATTTCAGATCAAATTCAAACCAGAAGAGTATTCCTCCAAACGTGTCCCCTGTTCCCTTTCAATTGGAGATAAATCTCCTCAAACCAAGACTTTTACTACAATTCAGGGACAGACAGGCAGACCCCATGATGGGTCTACGGTACCTTTGAGGCCAACAGAAGCATCTTCCTACAGTCTTGGGAGAGCTGGACAGTTCCCATGATAGAGCTGCAGTGCACTCTCCAGATCAGGAGAAGCGCAACACTCACCAAACCAGGGTAACATTTGTCATCCAGGAATAACTTCTCTATTCCAATTAGATCCATACACTGGATAAGTAGCACCCCGCTGGTAGATACAGTGCCAGAGACAGCGTTTATTTGAAGAGAACTAGGCAGAGAATTGGGCTGTTCTCTGGGTCTGCCACTCGTGAGAGGATGTTACACACAAGGGGTACACCCCTACGAGCTCCTAAGTTTGCCATAGCCTGATGGGTTCATCTTGGCTGATGCTGAGATGGAGCCAATTTATGAAGAGAGGGGGAATTGCTATAAAGAGTTTAATACTTGTAGAGCTAGGTAAGCAAAAGACAAGAATTATATTATTACTTAAAACAAGCTCCCCCCAAAGTCTGAGGTTAGGATTTTTTTTATAGATAATTTGGCGTGTAGGAGGCTGGAGATTGGGGAATTTTGATTATTTGGGTCAGAGATGAAATTATAGAACGCAGAAGCTGTCGTCTTGCATTGACTCAGTTCCTGGGTGGGGGCCACAAGTCCAGATGAGCCGGGTTACTGTGCTTCCCCAATACGGGTCTGAAAAATCCCTCAAAAACCAATCTTAGGTTTTACTCTATTAATAGGTTATCTGTAGGAGCAGCTGGGGAGGTTAATAATCTTGTGGCCTTTGGCTTTATGACTCCTGAGTCATACTTTCTAATCTTGTGGTTATTTTGTTGTGTTTGCAGGGGTGGTCTAGTCCCCAAACAATGAGGGGATTTATTTCAGGGAGCTTCTCTTGTCATCCTTGTTTCAAAGTTAAGCTAGAAACTAAATTCCTCCCCAAGTTAGTTTGGCCTTTGCCCGGGAATGAACAAGGGCAGCTTAGAGGTTAAAGGCAAGATGGAGTCACTTAGGTCATCTCTCTTTCACTGTCATAATTTTCTCACTGTTAGCATTTTTGCAAAGGCAGTTTCAGGATAAGCATAATGTACACATTCCCTTTCTAAAAGAGAGAAATGGGCAAAAAGAAAGAAAGCAACAGTCCTAAAGCAAATTCAAAATCCAGCAGGGCAACGATTACATCTTAAAGCTGGGGAATATTTTTTTGACTCTGTCTTTGACTCCTGAACATACTGGGGGGTATAGGTTGGACTCACAGGCCCTCAGGTACTATCACTGCTGTGGCTTGGCTTGGTACATTCTCCGTGGGTGCCTGTACAGGTTGCAGTCAGGTATATGAAGTTTTCCTGGGCAGACGTTGCATGCTGTAAGTAACTGCACATTTCTGGGGGGTCCCGGTAGTGGTACCACTTCCTCAACTCTGCTAGGCATTACCCATGTGGAACTCTCTGCAGTGACTTCAGCGCTGTGGCTTCACTTGGCATTGCCCTGGCGGGGACTCCTTGCAGCAGCGCTAACCCCACATTTGGGTTTGGCATCCCTCTACGTGGGGCCCTCTGCAGTGGATCTGGCCCTGTGACAAGTGTCTTTTTGGACTCCCAGGCTTTCAGAGAAATCCTTTGAGATGTGTAGAGACCGCCAAGCCTCTACATTCCTTCATTTCTGAAAGCCTACGTTATTAGCACCCCATGGACACCTTCAAGGCTTAGGGCTTGTACCTCCCAGAGCTCTGGCACATAAACTCTGCCTGGGTTTATGGTAAGCATCTGGAATGAGCAGAGCAGCATGCTAACATGGTGCAGGGCAGTGGCCCAAGCTGTCCCCAGAATCCACCCTGTCTGCTTAGGCCTCTGGGCCTGCAATGGATGAGGCAGCCTGGAAGGTTACTGAAATGGGTGTAGGGCCTCTCTCCCATTGTCTTGACTATTAACAGCTGGTTGTGCTTTAGCCATTGTAATTTCTGGCAAGCTGTGGCTCTGCGACATCCTTGGATTTTTCTCCTGAAAATGCTTTCATTCTCTACCACATGGCTAGGCTGCAAATTTGTAGAATTTCTCTCTCTCTGTGTGTGTGTGTGTGTGTGTGTGTGTGTCCTCTAGCAGTTCACCTTGAGCAGTTAGAAGTAACCACACACACAGCTTAGAAGTAACGTTAACACTTTGTGGCTTAGAAATTTCTTCTGCCAGATTACCTAGCTCTTCAGTCAGAAGTCAGTGTCTTCACAAAGCCCTTGGCATGGACCCAGTTCAGCGAAGTTATTTGCCAATTTTTAACAGAGATGTTCCTTAGTTTGCAATATCGTTTTTCCTTAGTTGTGATACAGCTCCGATGAGTGGAGGAACACGAACACTAGGGCTCTTCTCTCATGCCGAATTAGGTAAGACGACACGGACACACGTGGAGTGGTTTTAAGGAGTGGAGAGTTTAATAAGCAAGAAGGGAGAAGAAAAAAAGAAGACAGAGGGAGGGTGGCTCCAAATCCAAGAGAAGAGACCCCATGTGCCAAGGAAAAGTGGCTGCTTATATGAGTAGTCTGGAGGAGGTGGTGTCTGATTTGCATAGGGCTCAGGGGATTGGTTTGACCAGGTAAGTCACTCAGCCCTAAAAAAAACTGACCCTCCCACCCTAGCCTTTTGATATACAAATGCAGGGCACCACGATGTTCTGCACACGTAGGGGTTTGTGGGGGTGGCCATGTTGCCAGGCACATGTAGGGGCAAAGAAGAAGAGGGCAGGAATCACCATCTTTGGGTAGACCCAGTTTCTAATGGCAAGTATTTGCATATCAAAGGTTGCAGGCCTGGCTGTAAGAGCCAGGGTTTTCCTGCTAGGCAAATTTTTCTGGAGCTGCTTTAAAAGACACAAAACTTTCCAAGGACCCCTTTTCCTCTGTATTTGCTTGTTAACTCCTATAACATTTGCATCTGAAACCTTGTCACAATATCCTTTAGTCTCCATAGTTTTATCAGCAGTCTGGTCCAAACCACTTCATCAATCTCTAAGGACTCCCAAATATTTCCCAGTCTTCTTGTCTTCTGAATCCTCACAAGAACACAAGCTTTTTCTAGTCTGCCCCTCCATTCTTTTAGCCTCTGCCCATAACCCAGTTTGAGAGCGACTTTCACATTTTTAGATATTCAATTTCAGCAGCATCCTATGTTTTATTACCAATTTTCGTGTTAGTCCCTTTTTTCTTGCTCATAACAGGATACAAAATATTGGGTCATTTATCAAGAAAATGAATGTATTTCTTACGATAATATGCTGATAATTTATATCAGCTGGTAAGTCTGAGGCTGAGGGGCCACATCTGGTGAGAGCCTCTTGCTGGTAGGGACTCTCTAAAGAATCCTCATGACACACAGGATGTCAGCTGGTTAGGAGGCTGTTAGAAACAAGTGCTTGGTGTTGCTAAGAAAAACCAGCACTTAGAAAAGTTCTCAGCAAGGCACATTTACTTCTGCAGAAGGGTGCTGCCTGTGTCCGTCCAATAGCAAGAGCACACCAAGTTGGGTGGGGCAGGGGTTTTCATCCCTAAGGCAATCTCTGTTTCTGTGTCCTTCCCCCATTGGCTGGAGTCGGACGACACAATCTAAGCTAACCCGATTGGCTACTGTTGGAAATTGAATATGGTTAATTAGGCAGGAAGGGAGAGGCTGTTTGTTGCTAAGGTGGGAAGGGTGGTTTACAGAACAAATACAAGGCATGTCTGGGCACAGTGAAGGGTTTACAGAGTAATAGTTTTGCTAGTTAAAGATTAAGCAGAGAAACATGCTTGTTACAGATCAAGCAGAAAAGGCTGTACACAGAGCCAGAAAGAACAAGGAAGCTTTGAAGAGGAACTTACTATTCCTGGCAGGGCTGAGCATGCTAATGCAAGTCTCTTTTTCTCTAACAAAGCCACCAATGGCCCTCACATGATAACCCATTAATTTATGAATCCATGAATGAATGGATTCACCCTTGAGGGCAGATCAGTCATGATTGATTCAGACACCTCTTAAAGGCCATGCCTCTGAATACTGCCACACTGTGGATTACATTTCAAAATGAATTTGGTAGGGGACAAGTATTTCAAACACAGAAGACACAAG